ACAGGATTGAACAAATGCAATGTGAGGAGAGTCCAGAGAAGAGACAGGACTGGTTTTTTGCGGCCTCAAGTCATTAGAGGGGATGAGATTTGAGGGGGACCACCTGGGAGCCATGGTATATGGTATATATGGTGTGGACTGTGTGCGTTTTTTTTTTAAATTTTTAATTAATTGATTTATTTATTTAAGAGAGGGGAACAGAAGGAGAAAGAGAGGGAGAGAAACATCAATGTGTGGTTGGCTCTCACACACCTCCTACTGGGTACCTGGCCTGCAACCCAGGCACATGCCCTAGACTGGGAATCAAACTGGCAACCCTTTGGTTCACAGGCTGACTGACACTCAGTGCACTGATCCACACCAGCTGGGGCACGCATGTTTGAATTCTCCCAAAGTTCATATGTTGAAACCCTAATCCCCAATGTGATGGTGTTTTGAGATGGGGTCTTTGGGAGATGGGTCAGTGCTCTTGAAAGAAGAGGCAGGAGAGTCTGCTTCCTCTTTCCCTACTGTAGGGTGAGAAGGCATACATATATCTGCAAGCCAGTGTGAGGGCTCTCGCTGGGAACTGAATTGGTTGGCCCCTTGATCTGACTTCTCAGCAACCAGAACTGTGAGAAATAAATTTGTTTTGTTTAAGCCACTCAGCCTATGATATTTGTGTTACAGCAGCCTGAACTGACTAAGATAGGATATAAATAAGATGGGAGTAGGGCAGGCCTCCCTGAAATGAGGGAATTGTACTGAGAGAGCAGTGGGTATGAGTTGAGTGGAGATATGGGTGCAAAGGGACCTCCTCAGAGGATATTTGCATCCTGTGGTGCTCTTACTCTTATTGATTTGATCATCCATTAGTATAGAGGGAAGGAAAAGGGGAGGAATCAGTTTTGACTTAGCAAAAACCCTCAACTTGCTTCTTCTTCTCCTCCTCTTCCTTTTTTGTTTTTTGTTTTCCTGAGTAATAATCTGTTTTTCTTGCTGCTATAGTCCCACAGCTAGAAGTATCCCTGGTGCTGCAGAAACTATTCGGTAAATATTTTAATAAGTTATCACCGGGGAACCACAGAGTTTGTTAATATCCAGAATTGGAAGGCCCCTGTTGCCCACTGCTCATTGAGTGTGCAGCGTTCTCTGAGTTGGAGAATCTCTAATTCTCCTTGTGCCTTACATTAGTGGAGAAGCTCGAGGAGCTGGGGTAACTGTTGTAATGGTAATTTTGAATTTTTCTTATGACTGTCTTGGGAATAGAAGAATGATTTGATTTTTGCTAAGCTAAATAAAATAAACAAGGGAACTTGTGAAATGAAACATTGAAGGATATTTGAAAGCAAAGAATAACAGACAGTTTAATAATTTCAGAAAATAGCATGGTAGAGATTCCATAGCAACAGGCTCTTCACTTTCTCAGTGAAATGAGTAATAAAAGGTGGCTTTCCTGGGAAGGCAATGTTCTACAGTATCAATAAGTGGTATTTAAAGTGGCCTGAATCTCAATTCAAAGGGAGATGATTTGAAATATACATAAATATTTAATTTATATTAAAATCACAGAAATTAGCACTTCTGATTTTTAAAATTGTAGTGATCTTTTTGCAGTCAAAATAAGTCACTAGTTTCAGAAATAGGCTCTACAGGCAGTCTGGCTCAGAAGGGAGTACAGACTTGACGAAGATGCCATTTTGCATTTCCTTCTTGTCTCTGGGCTGTGGATTGGACCAAGCGGTAGCAGGAAGGCTTCAGCTTGTGTTGCCGTATTTATAGGTGCTGACTCCTTGCTGCAGTTGTCCCATTTGGTCATGATTTTTGAGTCCTTGCTGAAAATTATATATCTTTTTCCTTTTTTAGTGTTTTTATTTTTTAATTGAATTTATTGGGGTGACATTGGTCAGTAAACTTACATAGGTTTCAGGTGTACAATTCTGTAATACACCATCTGTATATTGTGCTGTGTGTTTCCCATCCCGAATCAAGTCTCCTTCCATCGCCACTTGTCCCCCCATACCCCACCTTTCCCTCTGGCTGTCACCATCCTGTTGTCAGTCAATGAGAGCTTTTATTTTTGCTTAATCCCTTTACCTTTTTGCATAAGTAAAATTATGTATCTTTACTAAAATTTAACATCAGCAAACTGTAAGAAACTGGCACCTATTTTACAGAACACCATTTAGAACATCTTCAGTCAGAAATCGTATAGTTGAATGAGTACATTTATACAATATTTAATATTTCTTTTATTCTTTTACCCTAAGTTAACATCCTTCATCATTCTCAAGTAAGACATAAGAAGGGCCAGGCAATAAGCTTCCTCCGAATTTTCTTCCCAGCTCTCTCTTGGTCTCCTTTGTAATCTCCTTTCTTTCTGTCTGGCTCTTAAATATTTTTAAAATAAAGTGTTCCTGTTTTAAATTATGTAAAGAATACATACCCATTAAACAATTCAAGCAGTAGACTGGTTTAAAAATGAACATGTCCTATGAAAAATAAGTTTACAGCTACACACACGCACACACAGACATGCGCATATCTGGTCTTCCCTTTCACCCCTCTGCATAGGTTCATACTATATGTACTATGTTGCAGCTTGATTTTTAAGTTAACAATATGTCATCAGTCCACAAATACTGGCGTTTCTCAGCGTTCTCTTCCAGGTTTGCTCTTCTCTCTCTGCCCTCTCTGAATGGTGAGACACCACTTGCAGTTTTAGTTGCCCTCATGCTCATTCCCACACATTCCCAGCCCTGGTCTGGTGCTGAGACCCCAGATCACCGGTTTATCATTCCCTACTTGGATGCCTTGGGGCACTCATGCCCACCTCTCCCCAAATACTCTTTCTCTTCTTGTCTCTGTCTCAGGGGGCAGCAATGTTATTCATCCCCTTTTCCCAGCTAGAAAGTTGGTTCATCTTCAGTTCTTGTTCCCATTCAACCACATCGTGTCAATCACCAGGTCTACTGTTTCCACCTCTTTAATATCTCTTAAACCAATCAGGTTTTCTCCATTGCAACACCTCTGCAATGCCAATTGACTCTTGCTTGGGGAGCTCTAATTATCTAACTACCTTCCCTCCTTTTACTTTCCTCCTTGCCTTCTAATTTAATTGCCTCAGAGGCCCCTGATGATCTTTCTCCTGTGCAAATCTAAATATGTCTTATAATATTCAGTGACTTGCTGTTGCCTTCAGAATAAAGCTCAGACTTTCAATAACTTACAGGGTTTCTACGATCTGGCCTGTGCCTGGCCTGACTTGTTGGCCACCATCCCCAACTATGTTTGACTCTAACCCAAACACAGTCAACCACTGTGAGTTCCTTACCCATGCCATGTTCTCACTTACACATGTTTGCCTTGGTACATTCTGTCTCCTCATCTCTCTGCATCATCATTTCGGCCACTTCAGTGGTTTCTCCTACCAGCTGAGGTAGGTGTCATTCCTATTCATTCCTGGAGCATCCCACACTTACCTTTCTCCTGTTGTAGCATTGATCATTCTATATTGTAATTGCCTATGTTTGGTCTGCATCACCCCTGGCCCCTTACTAGCACTGCCACAATTGCCACTACTAGAGTGTGAGCTCCCTGAGGGCAGGCACTAGGAAGAGCATAGAATGTAGCACCTGATAGGAACCACATGTTTGAATGATGAATGACTGTAGTCAGAAACCCAAAAAGCTGAAGGGATGGCTTGATCCAGAATCCCCAGAGTTAAACTGGTTAAGTCAGAATCTCCATGTGCCTTGAGGGATCAGTCTGGTTCAAAGGTCAGGGTAAACACTTTTCAGGGCCTGAGCATGACAGTTTGGGATACCATTGCTCTAGCAGGGGTGTCAAACTCATTTTCACCAGGGGCCACATCAGCCTCGAGGTTGCCTTCAAAGGGCCGAATATCATTTTAGGACTGTGTAAATGTAACTACTCAACAGTTAAGTGAGAGTTGGGTGCTACTGCCAGGTGCAAACAAGATGCCAGGCTGGATAAAACAAGGTGGAGGGCCGGATGCTGCCCATGGGACTTGTGTTTGCCACCTGTGCTTTAGAGGGTAGAGCAAAGTAATCATAATTTGTCTTCCTTCTACTTTCCTTTGAGCTTTGTCCTGTTTGGAGTCTTCTGTAGACTCAGCAACACATTACAATTCAAGTGAGTAGGAGAGCTATAGGCTTGTACAAGTACTGAGTCCTCAATGGGGCAGAAGCAGAAATGTGAGAATTCTTGGAGTGAGGGACTTAGATATTATGTTGTCATAACACCCAGGGTGGCTAATCTTGTCTCTCGCACAGCTGGTTAATCCTTCCACTCCTCACCTACGTTCAACCGCCAGTTAGTGCAGGCTTCTTAAAGGAAGACCTTTGTTTGTGAGTCTCTCACTTTGGAGTCTCTGTGTCCTTTATCCACATGCTATAGAGAAGAAAAAAAAAAGTACCATTGAGAACCCACATGTCTTGTGACATCTTTTTAGAAAATTTATTCATCAATTTTAGGAAAAGAGGGAGGGAGAGAGAGTAACATGGATTTGTTGTTCCACTTATTTGTGCATTCATTGGTTGATTCTTGTATGTGCCCTGACTGGGGATTGAACTCACTGCTTTGGCACATCAAGACAGTGCTCTAACCAACTGACGTAGCCAGCCAGTCAGGGCTCACCAGTTGTTACATTTTGTTAAGTGCGACTGTGTTCATGCTGATTTGCATAGGATACTTCTCAGCTCTATAGTGATAAAGTTAATTTGTATATCAGGATCCAGAAAATGGAGGCAGCCCCATGGGCCCAGCCCACATTGCCAGTCTAAACCCAGGTCAGCTGTGCTTACTGCAAACACCTGTCAAGGGAATTTAACATACACCAATCACAATCCTCCAACTCAGCTTCAGCTGGTTTACCTTACCATAGAGAATAGGACCCACTAGCCTTATAAGGAAGTCCCTGGCCACCCAGCCAATCAGGCCCTATTTCTGTGTCACCACTTCTAAATAAAACTCACTCTTGCCCAATATCCCTTGGGAGGAGCGCTCTACTGCTTGTATGGGCCCGCACTCCCCCAGTCCATGGATTATTTTCCCTTGAAAAAGGACATCAAACTCATTACTAAATTGTTTCAGTTTTTTCATTTGACCGTTTGGCAATGACATGGGCCCCAGAGACAGCTGCTGAGGATTCCGGGGACGGCTTCTAGATGCAGGTGAAGGTGCCAGTGGAGCCTTTTGGTTCGCTGCCTCTGTGGCCGCCTCCGGGATCTCTGGTAAGCCTCTCTTGGATGGAGCTCCACTTGTTTTTTGTCTGAGCTCTTCGAGTTTGTTTGTTCCAATCCTTTTGAGTGGAACATTGGGGTGTGAGAGACTCCTGATTTTTCAGTGTGGAAATTGAAGTGTGAAAGACTCCAGAAATCCCCAAATCCCTTGGGAAGGGCACTCCACTATATTTCCTCCAATCCATGGATTGAATTCCCTTGAATAAAGGGCATCAAACTCTGCTAAACTTTTAGTTTTGCCATTTGATGATAGTAAACTTGGGATATTGAAACATAGTGCAAAGAACTCTGAACTTAGATTTTAAGATTGGGAGTTAGGATCTGGCTTCTCCAGCTACTTGAGGGATACAGTGTAGTCCTATTTTATGCAATTTTGAATTAAATATTGACTATTAAATATTGACTATAAAGTATTAAATTTCTCAATGCAAACAATTTGAAATAATGCAGTCCCCTCATAAGACCTGCATAATTCCTAAGCTCTTCAGGTTTGCTGAATAATAAGCTGTTTATTTTATTGAAATATTTCCACTTTAGCAAGTGAAAAGAAATACCCAATGTCTTCTGTCATGGAAACGATCTTAAAATACATAAATCTTAGTCAGATTTTGCAGGGTCTTCAGGAAGGCATTTCTTGCATAAAAAACAGTCTCTTTGGCCTAGGTAAGTCCACTGTCTTGTCTTCACTTGTTGATGCTCACTGGGGAAAACTGGTAAAGAGGAAAATGCACCTTGTAATTTTACAAGAGGAAATAATAGGTTGAAGGTGCCTGGTTTAGTGCCTGATATTGATCAGGCAGTCAGTGAATGTTATTTGATTTGAAATGTGGAAAAGATAAACACCACAATTTGAATGTCTATTTTCCACTAGAAATACTTACAACTGTAAGCAGTCAGTAAATTGGGGGATCTCTCAGTATCACAGATAAAGAAATAGGATCATAGGAGATCCTATTTGTGGATATGTGTGGATTTTATTTCTGTGTTGAAATAGTGACTTAAGGTAGGCAGGCAGCATTTGAAAAATAGATCTGAAGAAACATTTCTCTTGGTTTCCTTTTCTTAAAGGACCAGAACATTTTAAATATAGGCATTATTTGTTACATTGTGCTTCACAGATGTTGCACCATTTTTGCAAATTGAAGGCAGGACCTTCCACCAGCAAACAGGTTATGAATTGCTTTATTGCAATGGTTTGGAACTGAACCTGCAATATTTCAAGGTATGTCTATAATAACCAGACACACGATTTTAAAAGGAAATTTAACTCAGCTTTCCCAGTGCCTCCTTTCTTACAATTATTAAATGAATGTGATAATCCAATAGTTATTTTAATGAGGGGTAAAGGCCTTCAAGATTTCCAAATTCAAAAGGACTTTCAGTCACTTTTACAGACATATGCAGGTTTCAGGTGAAAAGAGCACTAGGGTGATATAGGAATGAATAAATTTATAAACTTGCCCTCGTTTGTTCTGAGAGCTGCATATATATGCTTTTCTAAACTATGGATACATCAGATGCATTAATCATGTAGTAATTGAAGCTCTTTGAAAGAAACATGCTCTCATAAATGCAAGCTATTGTTATTAGCAGTGGTGTGATTAGTTATAAAACTATTTAATTAAAAATTTAAGTCAGCAGTTGAAGAAAAGATTTTATCAGTTTTGGAATAAAATGAACACAGATAAGGCTCAAGGTAAGATGAAAAAAGTTAATGTTTTGGCTGAAACTACATTTTGGAAGAAAGATTTTAAGGATGCATTTGTCCTTGAGGCCCATTCTGACTTGGGCAAGCTAGAGAAGATGGTCAAGAACTGGGATTAAGATGGAAAATTATTTTCTTTCTCTGGGTCTTGCATTTGTATAGATTGGGGAACTTAAAAGAACCTGAAGGCAGTGGCCACACAGTTGCATCAAAACTAGATTCTCTCAAGTTCTACAAGAGACAGCTGAACTCTCTGAAATCCTAACAAGGACAAAATATATTTCACCATTTCTGCTCAGGGGCAAATTTTTCCTTAACTCTGCTGGGGGTTTTGAGCTTCTCAGCATGACAGACAGACAGCTTCTCTCTCTTCATCACGTATACTATCCTAGCCTCTGCTTATGAATCAAACAATAACCCAATAACATTTGTGGACAGCTTTCTTATGAAATATATCTAAGCTTAGTCATTTTGATTGCTCCTGTGTATAGCAGGGAACCAACAAATCACTGAGGCCGGGCTTGGGGCCTATAGGAACTGAGGCAAAGGGTAAAGGAGGATGGCTGGTAGCAGGGGAAGATGTAGGATGACTTCTCTCACAGGCGCCCACCCGGCCAGGTGGCAGGAAAAGAGGGTCTTGGCTTCTCCTTTCCTAGTTCCCCTTGATCAGCTGGGATCTGTCCATTTGATAAATGCATTAACACAGAAGTAAGCAGTTTGAGCCTTCCCCTTATACTTTAGTCTCTGTCAAACAAAGGACTTTAAAAGTCTTATTCACTGTATAACCCCCTTAACTATCTACAACCTTGGTATGTTATAGATGACTTTTAAGGTAAAAATATATCTTAATTATTTCAAGATAAACACTCTGCTTTAATGTTCTAGAATTTTTGATGAGCTGCGTGTTACAGCAGATTCTGAACAAAGATGTAATGAAGCTTAAATGGGCAAAGGTAATCAAATATTTTCTTTATATCTTGTCCAGATGTGTCACCTTGGGGTGGGAGGTAGGGGGGATATGTTAACTTTCACTCATCTCCAAGTACACTGTGTACCGCAAGGACTTTCTTTGGCAGTCCTAGTTCACCTGGTCCCTGGCCAGGGGGCGGAGCCCAGCTGGAGCAGAGATGTGAGCTCACCAAGAGGGAGGGCCCTGCTTTCTCAGGTGTCTGCCTAAATCACTGTTACAGAAACAGATAAATATGATTATTATTGTTCTCCTTTTGTATTTTTCCTTTATATCCTTATAAATGTAACTGGCAACCCAATACCCTTGAAAGCTACTGTTCTGTTAATTCAATAGGTATGGTATTCCCTTACTGTTTGCCTTCTTTCTTTGAGGGAAAGCATAAAGTTATTTTTACAACCAGGGCAAATAAGGATCGTGGTTCACTGCCCTATTTTCTATGAGGTTACTGAGTCTTCCAGATTACACTCCTGAAGTTGCTTTTTTGTGTGTGTGTCTCCTCGAGAAGTGAGTTGATGTGTCCCTCACAGCACCGTGCTGGCTCCATGGGGCATGCTGTGTGGTTTCTTGATGTGAACACACGTCTTTTCATACTTTCACTTTTCTCATAGCTGACTACACCTTAAAACTGATGGGTGCATTTAATGTGGCATTATTTTTTAATTAAAAGCCATTATTTGATCAAAATGATGGTGGTTTTTATTATTGATGGTATTTTAGAATATAGGAAAGGTTAGTTAACTATAGCTGGGTAACAAATAACCCTAAAACTCAAAATAACAGTAATCATTTACTACCTCTCATGGTTCTCGTGAATCAGGGTTCACTGAGGGCACAAAGGGGAGGTCTTGTCTGGGCTCCATGCTGTCCGGGGCCTCAGCTGGAAGATGCGTAGCCTCTGAGTTAGAATCATCTGAAGGCTCACTGATTCCTATTTGAGCTTTGCTGGGGCTATTAACTGACACAGGAATAGTCCATGAAGAGATAAGGAGAGGAAGGGATTAAACTTAAAATATTTACTTATTTATTTTTTTTTATGAACGCAAGAGCTTTCAAACTCATAGGAGCTTTGGAAGGAAGAACCCATTTGGAATTTTCTGAGAGAGGCTGAACTTGGGTTCAGATCTCAGGGGGGCTTGGAGACTGGCACTTTGGAGGTCAACCTAACATTTTGTCACTGCAAAGGGCAGCATTACAGTGAAGCTTAGATTTTTGCATCAGTGTCTACTCTGTTGGTTAGTGTTCAGGATGACTTACACCAAACGCTTTACTACTTCTACAAGTCTCTGTCCCATCTCTAAGTTTTCAAATCTAGGTGGGCAGAAGCAGCATAGCTGACAATACCATGTGTTCCTTCACTTGAATCAGGGACTTGACTGTCAGCGGTCCCCCAACACTCCTCAGTCACACATACTAGGGAAGAGTTCTCTTTCCGCCATGCTTTGAGGTCTCTGACGTGAGCAGATGAAGGCAGCACTTCTCCAGACCCCCTCTTGTTAATCTCTGAAATACACAGGAAAACCTGGGGGAGTCCAGGAGTTTGTGGTCTCTTGCACTTCTCAACCTCCTGTGGGTTCAAAGGGTTAGATGAAATACTGTCTTTGAAAATTTAAACAACCAACGAAAACACACTACTCTTTCCTAAAAAGCTAAAGTTTTAACAAAGTGGTAATTTTTTGTTAAAACACTTTAGAAATTAAATGGGCCATTTCTTTAGGCCTACATGTATTAAGGCTTCTAAATATGATGTTTAAAATAATGTCATTATTGTCTAGAAACCTGAAATAAGCATTCCGCCACAAAAATAGGTTTTCTTTTGCTGAAATCATCCTTAACACTAGTTTCAGAATATTAAGCTTCAGGGGGGTGTTATAAAAGGATTACTATCATCATCAAGAGCTCCCATCTACTGTACACATCCAGTTGGCAGGCAATGAACAGGGCTCAAATAAGGTCTCGCTCGACAACCTGTGAGGTTGGCATATCATCCCCATTTTACAGGCAAGAAAACTGAGGCCTACTCAGCAAGTAGCAAGCAGAGTTTATCTCACTTGAAAACTGTTGTTTGGGGCTAGCCAGTATTTGGGAAGCTGTAGAATTTTTCACAGCAGCTACTAAGTCTAGGGAACTAGTGTCTACAAATAGAACCCTTTTATGTGAAACTGGGATGTGGCCCAGAGACTGCAGTGGTTCAACTGCTGAACATATGTAGATCTTTCATTTTTGATGCATGTATCTTGGTATTGAATCTACGCTCCTTTAAAGTTGGTTGTGTTTATGATATTCTCTAGAGAGTTTAGTATCATGGGGTTTTGTAAATTAGTAGATTACATCATAGGATGACCAATGTAGCAATATCTTTGGATGCAATGTAGCTAATAGTGTGTGTGTGTATGGGGGAAGGGGGAGAAAGAGGAGAGATCAATCAAGAGATAAAACATGTTTGGGATTTAGAATTTATAAAAATGATTTCAGATTAATTTAAATCTTCTTTATTTCAGGAATAACATATCTTTATTGTGAAAATTGTAGGTAAATTTCCCCCATCCATGAAACAGAAAAGCCATCTTATAGTCATTCACCGTTAAGATTTTGGTTTACATATCCCAAGCTCTATGTGTGTGCGTGCGTGTGTGTGAACATTCACTCATATATTTGTTTTTGCAAAAATGATCCCATACCAAAACTATTCTAGAAATTATATTTTTAAACTTAGTCATTAAATATGCTTTTATAACACCATTTTTAATATAGTAACATTTTTACAGTATGGCTATATCATATGTTTTGAACATCAGGTTTTTTTTATTATTTATTTTTCTTTCTTCTGTTATCTTACAGCAACTGACAGATAGAAGCAGGCTTTTTAAACTTCAGGGCACTCCTTGGCCCCCTCCCCCACTGCCGTTTGGTAGAGGGTGCTGTGTATTGCTGCTCTGCTGCCCTGAGACCTACCAGCCAGCGAAGAACGCTGTGAAACTGATGGCTGCTGACAGCTCATCTGCTTTTGCTGTTTCTTCTTACAGGAGACAGAGCATGTGGCGCCCAGCCAGTCGGAATGTCGGGGGAGAGCAGGAACGCCAGCTCATGAGAGTCCACAAAACCACCCGTTCAGGGGCCAGGAACCAGTGTGGCTTCAACCAAGGTGGGCCTTTGCTGTGCCTGGGGTTCATTCCCTGGTGCTTGTCACACCCACACAAGAATCTAGGTATTCTGATGTTTGTTGGCATTCCTTGTAGCCTAAGAATCTGCTTAATGGGGCCTAGAAAGAGTATCATTGAGTCTGAGTTTGAGAGATGTAAATAACCTACTGTCTCATCTTTAGTTTGAAGATTACCAGCCTTAAGTCTCAGAGAGAAGTAGAGATAATGCTGCCCTTGGAGAGAAATGGTTAGGTTTTCCTCTGTGATAATGATAGTGATGGCGGTATAGACATCAGCCAGTTGCTTTTTATGTATGATTATATAATAACCTTCACCACATCCTCATAGCCCCATTTTATGGAGGAAAAACCTGAGGCTGGGAGACAGTAAGGCATTCACCTGATGTTGCACAAGGGAAATAAACTGAGCCAGAATTTGAACCTACAAATGTCTGTCTATGGCATAGCAGGTGTGGCTTCTGTGCCCATCCTAGTGGTGTCCTGAGGCCCTGAAGTAGCCCCAGGCTGGAGATAGCGTGACTTGAGGGCAAGGGCATGGATAAAGAGCTGTCTGCAGCAAGGTTGGCATGGCGTTCTGATGCGAGCCTGGCATTACAGCTGTCTATGGAAAGTCTCTGCTGGAAATAAACAGAAGGAAGAATTCAACCACTAGTTGTGTCAGCTGTCTTTTTAGGATCTTGTGTACAGTGTAATTGTAGCCCTGACTCAGTGGAAAGAGTTCTGTGCTTCTGAGCATGACCTTTAGCAATTTTTTCTAAGGTTGCAGAGTCTAAATAAATCAACAACTACAGAGGAGATTATGCTATGTAATTGTGCTTTAAAATATCCAATGTCCTAAATTTAGAATCACAGAATTCCAAAGGGTTAGAGGGGACCCCGGAGTGAGATATTCCGCTATCTGATTGGATTTATGGTCACAATTTATCACTCTCTTGACAAGTTGCCATCTCTTGTCTGTTTATTCTCACTTGACCTCTGGTGGGGTAAGATTCAACCTTGTTATTTCTCTGATGATCAGGACACTCTCCTTGCTATTTGAGGCTTTATTGTAATAAAGCTATTTTAGGCTGACTAGAGCCAATTTAGGCAGTGACCCTATCTCCCCTGACCAGACTGGGGACTGCTTCTCTCATCATGAATAAGGCCAACTGTATTTCCATTCATGTTTCAAAAAAAGTAAAAACAAACAAACAAAAAAACAAAACAACAAATAAAGAAAAAAACTAAATAATTTTTTCTTTTTTAAATCCTTACCCGAGGATATGTTTATTGATTTTAGAGAGAGGAAGGGAGCGAGACAGAGAGAAACATAGATGTGAGAAATGTTGATTTGTAATCTCCCATTTGCACCATGACTGGGAATTGAACCCACAACATAGGTATGAGACTGGACTAAGGATTGAACCCACAACCTTTTGGTGCATGGGATGGTACTCCAGCCAACTGAGCCACTCGGCCAGGGCTACATCATTCTTATTTATGTATGGAAGGTATGGTGGCTCTTTGGGATGGATATTCACAGAGGCTGATGAGGGAAAAATGGCATTAGCAATTAACCTTCTCAAAAATGCCTGAATTTTGGTAAACTTAAAACTACTTTCTATCTCCTGAATGGTGGGGAAGGTGAGTAGGGATGTCACTGTCACTAGAGGGCAAGTTAGAAATGTAATAGGATTACATGTGGGTATTGTTCACACGTGACTAGGGAGACCAAGAATATTGAATTAGAGACCCTCCCTATGAGGAAACACATACCTTTTGGCAGGAACTCTTACCTTTGGGGGTAGGAATTGCAGTCTTATTCAGATTCCCAAAGATGTGTGGCACTGTTTTTCAGAGAAAAGGGATGCACATACACACGACAGTCTGTGTAACATTTAGGTGGTTACTAGGTCTCCTCTGCATGTCTGGAAAAGGAACCAGACACAAGGTTTCTCATTCAGTCAGGCTTGTCTTCCCAACAGATTGGCCACCTTTTGCAAAAACAGACCTGATCTCTCTTCCTGTATACCTAAGTAAGTCTCTGCAGGACCCCACCTACCTTGTTGTTCTTGTATCCCTCTACCTCCCACCCCCCACCCCGGCTTAGCCTCCATGCTGTACTTTCGCAGGGTCTAGCACATTCTAGAAATTCCGTGCACCAGGTTTGGCAATCACAGGATCTGGGAGCCAGTTGCACATCGGGAGCCATGTTAGGCCAAGTTAGGCTTGTAATTCTTAGACTTAGTATTTAGACTAGGCTGGTAACCTTTAATCTACAGTCATTTGTCACAACCGTGGTGGTGTCACCCAGAGACATTCTAATGGTACTTGAAAAAAATCTCAAAATATTGCAGGAATTATGAAACTTGATGAACTGGTGAAATGAGATCCGAGGCTAAAAACAACTTTGAGTCAGGTAGCTCGCATTCCTGATAACCTTGGTCTTCCGTTGTACGTCAGCATGTGGCAGGGTTCAGGCATATCATGCCCAATAAAATCCTGATAGAGACATGATACTGTAACAGAACACGTATGACTTAGGTCTGGCTCAAGGTAAGGGAAGAAGCCAGAGTCAATCTCAGCAGGTGTAAAATGCCACCTTCTTGGGGATCGAGAGAGAATGTTATTAGCAATAAACAATTTGAGAAAGGGAAGAAGCATCTTTCTGTAGCAAGGAGCAGTCAAGTGAGTGACAAACATCTCACGTTTCATTTAAACGAGACTTGAAGGATTAGTCTTCAGGGAGTGAATCCATCCCTGCAGACGTGAGGTTTTGGAGTGGACTGTGTTACGGTGTTGGCATTGATTTTTCCATACGTGCCAAATAGGAATAGCGTCATAGTTTCAGCTCTCAGAGCATTTGCATCATCAGCTCTTTCTAGCACAAAAAGCCTTTATTTTTCTCTGTGGCTGAGCTTCCAGGAGGACTATGAATGTTTTTGCCAAAGTTTGAATATATGTACATTATATTGGTTTTCAGAAGCCGTTGTAACAAAATGAGCACAAACCTGTGGCTTAAAAAAACACGGATGTATAATCTTATAATTCTATAGTCTAGGCCTCCAAAATGCATCTCACTGGGCTGAAGAGTCCAGGTTTGAGCAGTCCTGCATTCTTTCCGGAGGCTCCAGGGGAGAATTAGTCCATTTCTGTGCCTTTTCCGGTTTTCAGACTCTGCCTTCATTGCTTGGTTCATGGCCTCTGTTCCATTTTTAAAGCTAGCAACATAGTGTCTCTCTGAGCATGACTGGGAAAGATTTTCTGTTTTCTAAGTATTCATGCGAATGGGCCGAATCACATAAGCCTTGCTCATCTCCACATCTCAAAGTCCTTATTTAATCATATCTGTAAAATGGTTTTTGTTATGTAAGGTAAGGGAGGGGGCAAGGGATGCAGACATGGACATCTTTGGGGGACCATTACCCTGCTTACTGCATATACATTTATTTTTCCAGGGAAGAGGGGGTGACCTACCCATGGCCTGTGGGCTGTATGCGGCTTAGGATGGCTATGAATCGGGCCCAGCGCAAAACTGTAAATTTACTTAAAACCTTTTTGTTTGCTCATCAATTTTCCTTAGTGTTTGTGTATTTAATGTGTGGTCCAAGACAATGCTTCTTCTTCCAGTGTGGCCCAGAGACACCAAAAGGTTGGACATCCCTATCAGAGTCTCAAATGGTACTCAAGCTCCCCAAAAAGGTTTGGAACAACTGTCCTAGCCTCTTCCTCCTTCAAGTGTGCTTCTTGTTTTGGATTCCCACAGAACCATCCTCACCAGTCACTGCTGCCCCTGCGTCCTCTTTCTCTGCATCCCTCATCTCACCGCACCCTCCTCACCCCTCTGTTACCTTCCTTAGCAGTACAGTGTTCTACCTCAGAGGTCTTAATTAAACTTAGTGTACTGTAGGTATGTCTAGGGTGAAAATATATTTGGCTTGTACAGTGTTTTATAATGTTCTGATTCAATATTTAAAAATCAGGTTTTACAGACTTCCGGCATTCTCTTGAAAAACCTGAAGATGAGATAACCCAGAGCCTCCATCCCTACAAGGCAACAATTAGTTGGAGCCAAGGAGCAGTGCTCTATTTTTTCACAGTTCCCACCCAAATCTGCCCGTCTATTTATGGTCTTTGCCTGGCTCCTACAGGCATTTGGTTTATAATACTTGTCTCACTCCTTTTCTCCCGAGCTACTGCTCCTCCTGGGGACTCTAGCTGCTGGGAGCTGAGCCCTAATATTGGCGATGGCTGATACTGTCTTAATGCCTCCTTTTCCAAGATGGTGTGTGTATGTTTTAACTTGGATTTTCAGTACTTCTGAGCGGCGGGGCTACGTAGTACACTACTCTGGCATGCTCCTCAGTACCTGGTGCTTTTCAAAACATGTATAATTATAGAACTGCATTTAGTTAGAACAAGAGTGAAAACTTAGCAATCATTTAATACAACCTTCTCATTTTCTAGTTTGATGCCCAGTGAGGCTGTGATTCACTTAATCCTTCACTCCCTTTGTAATAGAACCAAGACAAGCACCAGCAATCTGTTTGGGGCAGCCACTTAATGAATATGTATCAATTTGATTGATTTTTATAGCTAAGGCCAATGCCAATACTGTGAACCCTCAGAAAGGACAAAGGGGAATTTACAAATGTAAGAGAATACTAATGAAGTCAGGAACTTTTTACCCAGCTAAGTAAATTTACTTTTGAGAGTGATTAACTCACTTGTGTTTAAACTGTTGTATTAAAATTTATGACAGCATTAAACCTTTAATGTTGTTAAAGACTTTGTCCGCATAAACAGGAGCTATTCTATAGCATTGTGTTACTGCTAATTAAGGCAGTGGTTACATTTGCGAATTGAAGTTCATTAGCCTCTTCATCTAGAAGTCCCCAGTTAGAGGGGGTTGAAGGTTGGGGTATTAATGAGGATAATGGCCTTTGATGACTTTGACTATTTTTGTGACATTCCACATGAAAGGAAAAGCTTTGTTGCTCTAT